GCTCAGCTGCCACTACTCAACTCTGCTGTTCCCTGTATGGAGAAAGCAGCCACGGACAGTAAGTAAATGAATGGCTGTGGCAATGTTCCAAAGAAACTTTACTTATGGAGTCTGACCTGAAGTGCACATAGTTTTCGTATGTCCTGAAATAATCGTTTTCTCTTTGAGTTTGTATTTCAGCCATTCAACAATGTAAAAAACATTTTTAGTGAGGCTGCAGGCAGGTATGGGCCCACAGGCTGTAATCCACATTAAAACAGCTAAGGTACCACAATCAGGGGAAGACTCCCTGCCGTAGAAGTGTCTCTAGGTCTCCAGGACTCTTTTACTGCTGGGGTAGTATGAACTTCACAGCTCATTACACATAGGAACTATCAGCAAGGACCTTGCTTGCCTTTTATGCAACCTGAATGCTCATCCAAGGAGCATTAAGTGTGGGTGATCTGCAGCAAATTACCTGAGTCTCCTTAAATGTGTATTAATGTGATTATGATGCAGTGAACTTGGATCTCACCAATTCCTGTCTTGAGGTTTATGACTGACCTCCACTTAAGATGTAAGCACTGTCACTTACAAAACCCTTACATACACATGGAGATGGGAAACGAGCCTGGCCTGCCTCAAAAATAGGCACAGTGCACATATAGGCTCTATTTTGCAGGAGACAAGTTGTCCATGTAAGCATAAAAGAGAAAACAAAAACTATATATAAATACATATATACTGCATAGGATATGTATTTTATATATACATATATGCATAAATATATGTATGTATGTATCTGGGACATGTCTCAAAATAATTCATTGTGGGGGAGTGGGGTAAAGATGAAACAAGACTGGACCATGATTCATTCATTGTTTAAGCTGTATGATGGATATAAGGACACTCATTACAGTATTTTCTCTACTTCTGTAGAGTTGAGATTGTCTATAAGAAAAGCTGGTGGGGAACAACAGAAAAGAAGTCCTAGAGAAAGAAATGTTCTTTTACTTCAAGGAAAGGGTTTTATGCCTATAATGCAGTTATTTTCACAGGACATTATATTTCACAGGAAACATTACAACTTGTTTTCCCTAGGAAAGAAAAATGTGGTATTGCTATGTTGACTCAGTCTATCTTGATTGAGGCTACCTACCTCCCTTGTCCTTTTTTTAACCAAACTACCGTGTAAGTGCCAACCAACCTCTTTTCCATCTTGCCCTAGGCCCAATTTTATGTCATTGATACTCTGACAGGGAAATCACTTATCATCAAGTGTGGATATCACTCTATATTGCCATCTGACTCCCTTGCCTAAATATGAGAGACAAGAGAGGTGGTGTCCTGTCTGCACTCTCTGGGAAGTGTAAATGGAGTGCTAACCCAGGACAGAGCAACAGGAAATGTTGAACGCCAGCTTCTGGTCTCCCTTGGGGCCATAAAGCACACCTCCCCACAGAATAATTTTTTTTTAAAGAGTCACAACACAATGGAAATTGGTCATTTGAACCCTTCATCCTTGAGTGACTCAGTTCAATTTTCCTAGTAGCCCAATTAATTCATTTTCTTGGCAACTATTTATGGAGCACAAATAGTGTTCAGGAGCTGAATATATCTTGATCAATAACGCTCCCTGTCCTCTGGGAGCTTATTGAAAGAGACATCACATAATACACTTTCAGATGATGACAGGGAGGACATTTGGTAGAAGGAAAAGCACAGGGCACTTTAATGTTGTACAACAGATGGGCTTAAGTTAGGGATGACTTCCCAAATACAATGTCATTTTTCTGACTCCACTGTTGAACTCCCACCAATGACACCACATACTTCTAAAAATCTGCCGTAACATTAACATTTTCATTGCTTAAGGCTCCATCTCTGTTCAGGCACTAATATGGATACCTTAGTTACTCATGACAATTAATTCCATCTAAATGTATTTCTGTTAAATACAAAATTTCACAAATCACATTTGGGGAAAAAAAAGGTAATTTGTCTTCCGAGTTTCAGTCATCTGAAAAGAGTCAAAATGTATTACCAATATTTTTCCACCGAAATCAACTGTGCTCTTACCTAAAATTGCAAATTTTAGAACCAAACAGAGCAGTAAAAATACGGGACTGACCTCTGAAAGATAACTGAAGTTTTACTCCAACATTTGCCTACCTGTGCTAATAGTAAGAAGAGGGACCATATATTAGGTAAACCACAAATAATTTCACTTTCATCTCAATCAATAGTTCCAACTTCTGCCAAAGCACTAACACTTGGACAGCCTTGCCACAGGGGAATTGGGCAAAATAAGCCACAAGACAAAAAAAAAAAGAGAGAGAGAGAGAGAGAGAGAAAGAGAGACAGAGATCCGATCCTTTGAATTTTGATGAGAGATACGTGAAGTATCCTTGAGAAGCCAAGTGAAACCGTGGACACCTTCCCTGGAAAGTAGACAACACAAATTATTCTGCATACAACTTTAGCATTCAAGCATACAACTCTGAAGCCCATTCAAGTCCCAGGTTAAAATTACCTCATCTAGAAAATATCAACGTAGGAAATCAAGTCTAAGATTATTAGAAGCTGAAAGGAATTAGTATGCATTGAGTCATTTTCCACATGTTATCTAGTTTAATTTCAACCCCTGTAACAACTTTGGGAAGTAGGTATTCTCTTCTTTAACAAAGTAGGAAGGCTGGATTCTGAGAAATGAAATGACTAGCGCAAGGTTAGGAGTTTTCAAACTCCTAGGTCCACAATTGTGAACTGGAGAATTCAGGAAGTTTGGTCCATATTCCTAGCCATCTTCCAAGATGGAGTTTCTGATTTCTATTCGTTCAGATGATTGATTTATCTACACAGTTCTTCTCAATTTAACATGTTGACAAGAGGAATTACTAGAGATTTCTTTTTTTCTGATAGGAGATAACCTTAACTGAAGACAAAGAAAGTTTAATACTGTCAAACAATTTTTGATAATTTTAAAATGTATTTTCATTTCTTAAGCAGCCTGAAATGAACTGTTAGAAAAACAAAAGCCTACTGTGAAAGTGTTGAATATCCTCATGCTTGGATTTTTAAACTGTCCCAGAAAATTCATAGTTACAAATGAATAAAGAACTGAGAGAAATAAAAACTTCAGTCTTGGAAACACTCAGTTTCATCCACCCTGGACACTTCAGCATCCTCTGAATGGAGAGCTTTTAAAAAATGATACCTCTAACAATCATCATAATTTGACAAGTCTAAAGCACACACAACCATTTATAACTGCTTTTTGCCTCAAGATGGTTAAGAGGTTTTAGATCTTCATGATAAAAGCTACTGATGAATGTATCCCAGCAGAGAATAAACACAGCAAAAAGTGGGTCCAGGTCACTAAATTTGGCTGGGTCTCAGTCCAGACCAAGATGTCCAGTGAAACATTAATACACGTACTCATCTTCTATAGGGGAATTACCAATAATTAGCACCCTGTTTTTGCACAGATTTAGGAACGCTTTATGGGAAGTGCACCCTGTTTTTGCACAGATTTAGGCACCCTTTATGGGAAATGAATCCATACTCAGAGAAGGAAAACAGAACAAGAGAAGAGCGGGTCAGATCCTCTAATGCTCTACTTCAACTGCTTCCTATGAGAGTTGCCACCTAGTGATTTTAATTTTTTAAGCTCAGGCGGGCTGCCAATCCAACACTAAAACTGGACTAACAACTGATTTTTCCTATTGCGACATCGCCAGCAAGTCCTTTGCTTTCCCTCTCTTCCCTCTGCTCTCAAACAGGGATTCTCATTTTCAAAAGCAACACACTTGCTCTATAATCTGTTCCAACTGGAAGCTGAGAGCTGCCACTGGTATTACTCTTCCTCCCAGTGCCAACAAGCTAACAAGTGGTCAGTTCAAAAAACCAAAATGGTGATCGTGAAGAAAAGGCAGACACTAAAAAGAAACAGTTTGTGTGGAGACAGAGTAACAATGGGTCGACTCTGGGTTTTAAAATGTTCCATGCACCACAGTTCTATCTGCTTTTGGGTCCTGGACAGTATGGGAAAATAAATGGCTACACAGAAAATGAAACTGCACCAGGGCATATAAATTCAGTATTTTGAATACCAAACCTCACTCAAGATCTTGTCCTTACTATCACTGAAAGAATGACTTTACCTGAACCTATGGTTGACTGGCCTCCATAAGTCCTTTCTGACCACAGTATGCTCAGGCCTGGCACCGCATTAGACAACACAGGGCATTTGCTATTCAAAGACATAGGAAATCTGAAGAAAAAGTCAGGGTTTCTAGATACTTGACTTTCATTTAATGGCACACATGTAGGTTGCAAGTATTTCCCTAGAGTATCCTTCTACCAGTTTTTATTAAAAACTGACCAATAATTCCAGCTATTTCACTAGCTCTAAGCACTAAAGGCTAGTTCCACCATATAAAATGCTGCCCTTTTTCTTGTCAGCTCACAAAAAAAGTCTGACCACTTGCTCCTCAGTTGTGGTGATTCTTCTGTAGCACCCTAAACTATGTAAATTAAATCCCACAGAAAAAGGCTACACAGGTAAAGTGCCGACTTTTTTAAAGTTTGAAATTAGCTTCTCACTGACAGCAGAAAATTTATCGTGGCAAGGTTTCCTTTTCAGAGCCCCCTAAAGCACTGTGGAAATGTTTTTGAAAGCGGAAAATCCCTTTCTCCGCTTGTGTTTCTCCATAAGGGACTCAGACCTGAAATGATCCGGGTTAAACGCACTGCCCATTCCCAGTGCTCATGAGTGAGCAGTGCCGCTCAAGCTGTCCTACGACAGGTCCTCCCACCCGGCAAGGGGTTCAGGACGCTCCCCATTACAGGAAACCTCTGGAAACCAGGTCTTCCAAATGTTCAGTTCTCCACCTTCCTCCTCACAGCATCCTCGCGTGCGGAGAGGAGTGGGTAAGGGGAGCTGAAGTTCCCCACCCTGGTGAATTCGGCAAGGAAACTTCCCCAGGATCTGCAGAAACCCCATCGGGGGCTGGACTCACCTTCGCGACAGAGCCCCATGACTTCACGGTTTTTCCCAAACTCCTTGAAACTTTCGTCCAATTCCGTCCCTAGGAGATACACAGGAGGAGGGGAGAGGCAGGTCAGTGGCCGGCAACGTGACGCACGCTCACGCACGCACGGGGTAGGTGCGGGCACCTCCGCGTTCCCCACCGCGCGATAGCATCTCTGACCCCGAGGGGGCGGGTCACAGGGCTGGGGGAGGGGAGCGACGGGCAGGAGGATGGGGGCGTGGGGCGTGGGGCGTGGGGCGAGGAGGGCGTGGACACTCACCGTCCTTCCCAGGAAGTTTCGAAGCCTCGACCCACAGATTCCACGACTGTCCCAGCATCGCCTCTGGACTGGGCAGGGGCCTGCGCTCCCCGACAGTCGCCATGGCGGCGGCAGCGGCCGAGGTGGAGGCGGCGCCCGGGCCGCCGTCCTCCGGCCGTAGGCGCCGCGGCGGCGGCTGCCGCTGGGGTTGCGGAGCTTGCTGCTGCCGGGCGGCCGCGGCCAGCCGTGTGTTCGACCCACGCTTACCACTAGAGGTCACAGCGTGCGCCTGGGGGCCCTGAACTTCGAGTTCAGCAAAGAGGAGACCATGAGATCAGGGTAGGGAGTGGAGGAGAGAGAGAGACCGAGGTGAATCCGTTTACGTGCTTTGGAGTCACTACCCAAAATTTCTCTATTTCCCCTTCCATTGCTCCTGGAAGTGATGCATTCACCCCGAAATAAAATATTGCCCTTTTAAAATGTGATCCAATTTTAATTCGAGTTGTTGGTCTTTCTTTATGGTTGTCTTGGGCAGGGCGGGAACCCAGGGCTTAAGGGAATGTACAGTATTCCTGGAAAAGGTGTTTAGAAAATACTATTTCCTGTCAAATTTTGTTCACTAATAAAGCATTGGCACACAAAGTGTAGCACCCCTCCGCAACACACACATACTGCGCAAAGATTTTGCTTAAGCGATAAGACGGTAAAATAAAAGACTGCTTAATGAACTAAAGCATGCTTGAAACAGCAACAGATCACACCAAGGACTTTCAACAAGTGTTTGTATTATTACTGTTATTTCAAAGTGAAGTGAGAATATGAAGGCTGATACAGAAATAAGGGTTGTGATTGTTTCACGGGGCAGTAATATCAGTACTCCCATGGCACATGTGTGGTAGCTCCTTGCTTACAGGTACTTGCTCTAGGTGGGGAGGAAGAGGGTTTATTCATGCGTTTTATCTAGAACATTTGGTGTGACAGAGGTGGCCAAGTTCTCTGCTAAAGAAACAAAGTCCAACTTGCAGAAACAATGTTTAAAGAGTAAAAAAATAGTAAGGAAATGTTGCAGCAACCTGCACCTAAGGAGGGATCATGTAGAAAGGGTTCGTTTTAGGTCTAAATTTTTTAAATTTTAGAATAAATTTATGAATTTTTGTATTTAAAAAGATTTAGAAATAAATATGTAAAATTTTTCCTGGATTGCATGTAAACGTAAGTTCCAAAAAGTCAAACTATGGATGCTTCCTCTTCTCATCTAAGAAGTAGTAAAAAACCAAAATAGTAGAAATGATTAGATAAAAAACGAATCGTTTCTAAAGCTTTAACTTCCTGTGTAAGAGTACCAATGAGAAATGTACATGGCTAAAATATATCATTCCATTAGAAACAATAGGGTTCCAAACTTTGACCCAGGCTCTCAAACTTGGATATGCCCAATGCACTTAAAATTTTTCATTCATCCCAAACTGCTGAAAAATCTGCAGAATTACATAGAAACATTCAACTTCTTTGTTTTTCCTAAAGTATGTAGTTTATTAAATACTTTGAATTTTTTATTCATATATTTAAGATAAGCAAAAAAATTTGAATTTTAATAGCATTTGGAGCTGCTGTTTAAAAAGAAAAGTTTAGGGTAACCCAGCTATATAAATACCAAAGGGAAATTGTCTACACAGCACAGCCCTTTTGATCCCTGAATATACAGCGAGAACAAAAGTAAGGAGAATGGAAAAGGTGAAGCACAGTCCCACTTCCTCAATGCCCTGCTCGATTTCCCCCTTTTCACATGTGAACATACTTCAAGATTCACTGACAGGACTTTTAGCCACTAGAGATCAATATGGCAATTTATAATACTTCAACTGCTGTCCTTATCCCTGCTTGATACATCTTTTTTTTTTTCAAAGTTGTTTACTGGTTCAATAATAATAATAATAATAAAACACACACAACAGGGGTTAAAGTGAAAAATACTAAGTATTTTCTTAGCATTATTATAGTAAGTTAAAAGAAATTATTAATCAATTATTGAGCATCTACTAGGTGCCAAGCATTGTTATAGGTACTTTACTGCATTATGTCAATCAATATTCACAACTGTGTAAGGTGTAAGTTGTACTACTTGCAATTTACAGATAAGGAAAGTAAGGGAATGCTCTGGAACCAGTCCCTACGACTTCTTTCTGCATTCATATACTGGCTCTTTCACTTCTAGGCTGTGTAACCTGAGCAAGGTACCTCATCTACCTACACCTCAGTTTCCTAATCTGTAAAAGACAAAAGCAAATTCTGAGGATTACATGAAAAGGTTCATGGAAAGTACTTGGTATAAAGCTTAACACAAACACTATAAATAAGTGTCTTCTATAAAACTGAGCAATTCAAACCAATTCTTATCTGAGAAATTTATTCTCAAGTTGAAGATGTGAAGACCAAGAAAATGACAGGCAATTCCTGTCACCTCCCCACCAATTCTCCTCTGCTACCGCCAGCACATTTTACCACACTCTTTTCACCCTTAAGAAAGTTCTAACCCTTTCCAGACCAAGGTAGTTTCTGATAGCCATAGTTAGTGTTTCCCAATAGTTCAAATGAGTCACCAACAAAAGTCAAAATTACTAGCTGAGAAAGTACAGTGCTCTGATATTCAAATTTGGGCATCATTTTAGAAGTGCTCCTTATACAAAAGACACTGTCTATAAACAAGAGTACAACAGAAACTCAAATACTTGGTTTTACCTACCAGGCCATAATAACCTGGTGACTTCTTACCTAAATAGTCTTGTGTATGATCAACCAGGTCTGCCAGTGCACTTCAGATACAGCTCTGAGGAGCTTCAGTATCTGCACAGACAAATGGTATGGCTTATAAGGTTTAAGTAATGAGGATTCATTTCATCAAAGACTTCCACACTTTCCACATACCACACACTCTCTAGGCACGAGGGTGAACACAACATAGTAATTTCACTGAGTATATAACAGAAGAAGTAGGCAATTTTAATTCATCAAAATGCTCTTATGAAAAAGCTGTCACCACCAATTAGATTGTATGTGACTTAAGAACTAGTCTGTCAGAAGTGTAATGCTGCCAAATTCTGAGCATTTCATCCCTTCCAGGGATGTATTTAAAATATGGCCTTACTTCACCATCCAAATTTAGGGATGTTCCCAGTAGGTGCCAAGAGTAACAAGGACTCTCTTTACAAAAAGGATTCTTGCACAGCAAATTCACTTGTAAATCGCTTTGTTCAAAGGCCAAAGGCTAAGTGCAAAAAAATAGTGAAGGTGGGATTTTGATCTTTCCATACTTTAAATCAGGTTTAATGTAAAATGACTGAAACTGTCCAAAACTTAGTTCTAAGATGCAAGACCCCACACAACCAGCTTTTTATTTGGAAAAAACCACTGGTCCCAAAGCAGCATTTTAATAAACTTGAAAAATAGTAACTACAGTATATTTATCTGTACAAATTACAGGGTTGGTAACAGAGATTCTCCATTATCAACCCCAAAGGACTGCAGTCGTTTGAGTAACAAGAAACTCAGACACACTCACTTAGTAATGTGTTTGTTGGCTTTGGTTTCTTTATATCTTCCTAAAATTTGCTGAGTCTTTGTTCAAAATTTCTCTTCCTCCTCTGACTACACCTCTCTCCTTCCTCTTTCCTCCTTTCTTCTCCCAGAAAGCACTAGGCTATTTTCTATGGAGTATGGCAGGCAAGGCCCCTCTTTAACTGTGCCCCCTTTGGTAAAATACCTTACAGTCTGTCATGAATGCATCAATATTCCAGTAGGGGGAGAAGAGTGGAAGAACGAAGTTGAATTTGTCAGCTCAGTGGCTGGAATTGCTGACAATCAAGTGCAAAATTAGGAGTACTAAGGACAGTTGCAAAAGTGGAGATTTAAATATGAGGGAAATTTTTAAAAACTTAACCTGTGCATGTATTCATTATTCAAACTGTGTCATTTGCTAAGGAGTTCAAAGCTCTGAATTTGGAGTTTTCTTCATCACATGTGTAGCTGCATATGAATTCTCCCAAGGAAACATTCACCAGTAATAGCAAACTATTTTGAAAGGAGAACAAAATTTAGAAATGCACACATAAAAGGTATTAAATTGTAACTATAAACTGAATAATGCCCAAATGTTTCTAGAGATTTAATACAGATCTGTAATTTTAAACTATGGACAAACCTGATTTAAAATCTTTATTTAAAGCCTTTAGGTTAAGTAGTTAAAAAAATAATAATAATAGAAAGGATTCAACTGTAGGAAAAGAATGGAAAAGTCGGACCAACATTTAGCTGTAAAAAGAGGTTGACTGTATGTATAGTTAGAGTTCTGGTGAACTGCCTCAGATGCAATAAAATGCAAAGACGAAACACACTGTTAAAAATTATTCCCCATCACCTTTGTACTAACAGAGATTTTACTGAAGTGACTATAAATATCATCATCTTCTGTGCCCAGCAGTTTAAGAGCATGGGTTCTAGAGCCAATCTACCCAGGTTGGATCCCAGGTCTACCACTTACTAGCTGTTTAACTCTGGGGAAATCACTTAACCTCTCTGTGCCTGTTTCATCTACAAAATGAGTATAACAGAATATCTAGTTCATGAGGCATAATAAGAAAGTTGATAGTGAAAAAGCACCCTCCAAGTGTCAGTTATTATTAGCACCCTGCCTGTCACACGGTAAGCCCCATTCCTAATCTATCCATACCATATTGTCAGATCAGTCTTGCAGAATGAAGCATGGCTTTAGTTATGTCAGTCCTTGATCCAACACTTCTAAGGGGCTCCCCACTGACCACTGAATTTAATAAAAACTTCTCTACTAGCATTCGAGGCCATCTATAGTTGCCCTGAGCCCCAGCTCCACTATGTCTACAATGTCTCCTCCAGCAGATACTCTATGAACCAACCGAAATGATCAATTCACAGTTGCAAATATGCTCCCCCTCCAGATCCCAGCTCCCAAGCCATTGTTCATACAATATTTTCTCTCATTGGCTGAAATCCTACCTTTCAATCAAGTCCTCCTCACATTCATGTGTTTAATGAAATCTTTCCTGGTCCTTTACACTAAGTACATGGGAACTCATCCCCACCTAAAAATCACAGGACTTCCATAGTTGGTAACAGAGATTCTCCATTATCAACCCCAAAGGACTGCAGTCGTTTGAGTAACAAGAAACTCAGACACACTCACTTAGTAATGTGTTTGTTGGCTTTGGTTTCTTTATATCTTCCTAAAATTTGCTGAGTCTTTGTTCAAAATTTCTCTCCCTCCTCTGACTACACCTCTCTCCTTCCTCTTTCCTCCTTTCTTCTCCCAGAAAGCACTAGGCTATTTTCTATGGAGTATGGCAGGCAAGGCCCCTCTTTAACTGTGCCCCCTTTGGTAAAATACCTTACAGTCTGTCATGAATGCATCAATATTCCAGTAGGGGGAGAAGAGTGGAAGAACGAAGTTGAATTTGTCAGCTCAGTGGCTGGAATTGCTGACAATCAAGTGCAAAATTAGGAGTACTAAGGACAGTTGCAAAAGTGGAGATTTAAATATGAGGGAAATTTTTAAAAACTTAACCTGTGCATGTATTCATTATTCAAACTGTGTCATTTGCTAAGGAGTTCAAAGCTCTGAATTTGGAGTTTTCTTCATCACATGTGTAGCTGCATATGAATTCTCCCAAGGAAACATTCACCAGTAATAGCAAACTATTTTGAAAGGAGAACAAAATTTAGAAATGCACACATAAAAGGTATTAAATTGTAACTATAAACTGAATAATGCCCAAATGTTTCTAGAGATTTAATACAGATCTGTAATTTTAAACTATGGACAAACCTGATTTAAAATCTTTATTTAAAGCCTTTAGGTTAAGTAGTTAAAAAAATAATAATAATAGAAAGGATTCAACTGTAGGAAAAGAATGGAAAAGTCGGACCAACATTTAGCTGTAAAAAGAGGTTGACTGTATGTATAGTTAGAGTTCTGGTGAACTGCCTCAGATGCAATAAAATGCAAAGACGAAACACACTGTTAAAAATTATTCCCCGTCACCTTTGTACTAACAGAGCTTTTACTGAAGTGACTATAAATATCATCATCTTCTGTGCCCAGCAGTTTAAGAGCATGGGTTCTAGAGCCAATCTACCCAGGTTGGATCCCAGGTCTACCACTTACTAGCTGTTTAACTCTGGGGAAATCACTTAACCTCTCTGTGCCTGTTTCATCTACAAAATGAGTATAACAGAATATCTAGTTCATGAGGCATAATAAGAAAGTTGATAGTGAAAAAGCACCCTCCAAGTGTCAGTTATTATTAGCACCCTGCCTGTCACACGGTAAGCCCCATTCCTAATCTATCCATACCATATTGTCAGATCAGTCTTGCAGAATGAAGCATGGCTTTAGTTATGTCAGTCCTTGATCCAACACTTCTAAGGGGCTCCCCACTGACCACTGAATTTAATAAAAACTTCTCTACTAGCATTCGAGGCCATCTATAGTTGCCCTGAGCCCCAGCTCCACTATGTCTACAATGTCTCCTCCAGCAGATACTCTATGAACCAACCGAAATGATCAATTCACAGTTGCAAATATGCTCCCCCTCCAGATCCCAGCTCCCAAGCCATTGTTCATACAATATTTTCTCTCATTGGCTGAAATCCTACCTTTCAATCAAGTCCTCCTCACATTCATGTGTTTAATGAAATCTTTCCTGGTCCTTTACACTAAGTACATGGGAACTCATCCCCACCTAAAAATCACAGGACTTCCATGTTCTGGGATTAAAAGAGTATATGCTCTGAAATCAAAGTGGCAATGAGATGCACACTTAGTCTCCCTGGATCAAGTTTGCATTTCCAGCATAAGGGTGTCATTTGGAACTTGGAACCCACCTCCTCACAAACCATAATATGTGTGGTGGCCAGGTCCCCAAGCCGGTCAGTAAAATGCCTTACAGCTGAACCTTTGGACTTACAGCACAAGGGTGTTAGTGCAAGAGGAGGGGACAACACAGACCTTTCTTCCCCCTTTCCTTAGCAAAGTTCTAGCTTTCCAAAGGACAGACTATTCCAGAAAAGTTTACATCCCCTTTTCACATCCAAAATAAAACCTTACTTTTCTTGATAGAGATAAATGGTATGCAGATTTAACTACCTTTCACTAACATGTGAACAAATGACTATGAATGAATATGGTTCCCTGTCTTCAACCCCCAACCCAAACACATATTTTCTGATATAAAAGGGGAGACCTTAATCCAAACGACTTTCTTGATGTGATGATCCCCAGACCTTTCCTCCCAGAAACAACTACTACATTCCCACAAACATTCTGATTTGAAACAGCACCATCTATGACTCAAGGTAAAATATCTGACCTTTCATTTTAACCTAATTAGCCTCTGTTTTGATCATCATAAAATCTGCAGGACCCAGAGGCCTTGATCCTCACTCTCTGCCACATTGTCCTCCCCTGCAAACTGCTCAAAGTGAAGGAACTTAGGAACAGAAAAGGTGAACCATAACAAAGCTGTTACTAGTAAGAAATCTACCTTGGCTGCTTTTCAGTTTCTTGCCCCTCTCCACTTCAGAAAACAGTATTTTTCAAAGGATTTTTTTACAATAGGATTTTTCCAAATGGTTTCTGGGGGCAGTGGTGGCTGAGCACCAATCACAAGTGGATGTTTAGTAGGCTGGAATCCAACTTACCAAGTATTTCTTAAAAAGCAGAGCCAAATTGATGAAGTGGAGTTCACCAAAATTATTAAACTTTTATGCTTTCAAAGGACACCTTCAAGAAAATGAAAAGATGACTCACACACAGAATAAGTGTTTGCAAATCATATATACTGACAAGGGACTTATATCTAAAATGTATAAAGAACTCTTAAAACTCAAAAACGAATAATCCAATTTTCAAATGAGCAAAGGATCTCAACAGACAATTCTCCAAAGATGATAGTACAAATGACCAACAAACAAATGAAAAGATGTTCAATATTATTTGTCATTAGAGACATAACAAATAAAAAATACAATGACATACTACACATCCAATAGGGTGGCTATTAAGTAAATAAAAACAAACAAGCAAAAACATAAAATGACAAGTGTTGGCAAGGATGTAGAGAGGTCGGAATTCTTTTACATTGCTGGTGAGAATGTAATATGATGTAGCCCCTATGGAAAACCATTTGGCAGCTTCTCAACAAGTTAAACACCAAATTATAGTATGATCCAGCAGTTCCACCTCTTGGCATATACTCAAAAGAACTGAAGGCAGGAATTCAAAAAGATCCTTGTACACCAATGTTCAGAACAGTGTTATTCACAAAAGGTAAAAGGTGCAAGGAACCTAGGTGTGCATCAAGTGATAAATGGATAAATATACCCACACAATGGAATATTATTCAGCCATTAAAAGGAATGAAGTACTGATACATGCTACAGTATGGACGAACATCAAAAATAAACCCAGTAAAAGAAGCCAGCCACAATAGGCCACATACTATGTGTTTCATTTATGTGAAATATCCACAGCACACAAATCCACAGAGCCAGAAAGCAAGGAGTGAGTGCTTAATGGAAACAGTCTCCTTTGGGGGTGATGAAAATGTTTTAGACCTAGTTAAAAGTGAGGGTTGCACAACATTTTGAATATACTAAAAACTATTAAATGAGTAAATCTGTGGTATTTGAATTATATTTCAATAAAGCTATTTTTTAAAGCCAACATTAAAATTTGGAAAATTTCACACAAAATTCCAGACTGACTTCTCTTGAAAAATGTCTACGAAATCACACCGTTCACCTCAAGGTCCCTCATGACCACCATCAGTTGGAGGTAAAACTGCTCCTGGAGCCCATCTCTGCCACCACCTACTCTGGACCTTAAGACATGTTTTGTGTCTGCTCAGTCAGCTTCTGTGTGAAAGAAGGATCACAACAGTATCTACATCTCATCTATACGGTATAACAGTATTCTCATCAGGTTGTTACAGGAGTCAATGAATTAATATGCTTAGAACAGTATCTGACATATAGTAAGTGCTCATTAAGTGTTAGCTACTGCTTTCATATTTTATGATACCTCATCCTCTTTGTAATAGAGATAAATGACATTTGTTTTTATTTATTTATTTTGTTTGTTTTTACAAATGGAAGTATAGTTTATAATATAGCAGTCCAAAACAAAGAACTGGAAAGACAGCCAAGCTATAAATTTTTTAAAAGTAACATGCAAAATACAATGCATAATATGTGTCTAAAAAGTAATGATGACGATGCTATGCATAGAAAATAGATGACTCTGGACTTATGAGGAACAGAAAGTGAAAGACTGTAATTAAAGGGGCTTTTTATTACATACATATTTATACAATGTTTAAATTTTCCAGGTTTATTATAGTTGACATATAATACTGTATAAGTTTAAGATGTACACCATGATGATACACACAACACACACACACACACAACCCCTACACACAGCGAAATGATTGCCATAATAAGGTCAGCTGGCACACCTATCACCTCACCTCACAGTTATCTAATTTTTTTAAGCAAACTTTTATAACCAAGAACTATAATAAGAACAATAAGGATGTTTTTTAAAAGAAGAAGAAATTCTAAATTAATTTTGAGACATTTATGAAAACTGTTACAAAATTCCATCCGGTGAGTAGCAATGTCACAGAGTAATAAGACCAGGGGCCATTTGCTTTGCTTTGAAACCCAGATGCTAGAATTCCCAAAGGAACAGCCTCTCTTCAGTTTCCTTCTTCCTTATAGAGTACATATGCTATATTTATAGCTGCCAACAGGAGAGATTCCTAACTCCTTAGACTGACAATCAACACCTTTTACCATCTGGACCAACATCCTTTCTCTAGTTGAACAATATTCTATTGTGCAGATGTACTACAGTTTCTTTATCCATCTATTCAGTTGATAGACATTTGGGTTGCTTCCTCATTTGGCTATTATGAATAGTTGTATGTCATTATCTTTCCTTTCCTTCAGCTTCATGTGCTAATCAAATTCATGCTTTCATATCATTTCAAATCAACCCTTACCCTCCCCAACTTAGCGTGGCCCAAAGTCCTCCCTTTTTGTGAACTTCTTCACCGCTTCTATACCTGAGGTAGCAAACTGTCAGCACGTGGCAGAATCCCACAGAGTTATTTATTTGGGTTGTCACAAACTGTTTTCTTAATTTAGTTGCTAACATTGAAAAAATCAAGGAAAGTCATTAACGTCAAGATTTCAGTTCCCTTAAAAATCTGGAAGGTCTGTGAACATTGTTGTCTCTTGCCTGAGTTACTGTATTAATGACACTAACTGTTCTCACTGCTTTTACAGCCTACGTCAACATAGTGACCACAGTGATTTTATGAAGACAGAAGTCAGATCCAGTCACTCCGCTACCCAGAACCCTCCAGCAGCCTCCCACTTCTCCCACTCTCCACGCAAAAGAAAGCCAAGGCTCACTGGATGATGACCTATGAGGCTACCCGCTGGTCTTTTACATATCTGACTTTATTTCTTACCACTTTCCTGCCTGCTTACTCAGCTCTGGCCTTTTTTCTGTTGCTTAAACAATCCAGGCAGGCTCCTACTTTAGGCCTTTGCTCTGGATGTTCACTCTATCCCCAGATAGCTTAACCGTTCACTCCTCCAATCTTTATGCTCAGATCTAACCTTCTCAAAAAGTCCTACCCTGACCCCCCATATTTAAAACTGTAAGCCCCAGCCCTCAGGAACACTCTGATTCTCCTGAATCTGACCTGCTTTTCCCAGCCAATTGTCTTCATCTAGTATAACATATAAAGCATTTATTTATTGCATTTGACATGTATTATCTGTTTCTTTACACTAAAAGGTAAGTGCCACAATTTTGTTCCTTTGATTTATTAATTCCCAGTGCCCAGAATAGAGCACAGCATGTGGGTGGGCACACAATAAACATCTGTTGAATGAATATCGGGCCTGCAATCAGCTGGCACTGAACAGGGGCTGTCCTTTTAGACTAGACATGAATTTGACAGTTTCTCATGGCTCTACTTGACCCATTTCATTCCTCTACCTGCCTGGTCCCTGAAGACATGAGTCTGTGACACTTCCTTCCCTAACTAGAACTGTCATATCCTCCTGAACTTGTTTTTGTCTGGTAATGGTCAAAATTTTATCTCTGCAGATGTTCATGTTGTCCAAAATGTTTCCATCTTTGCTACAGTTGCCTAAAACCTGATTGAAACATTGCATTTTGTTGCCTAAGTATGTAAGAGAATCAATTTCAGATGCTAAAGCTCCTTTGGTCTTTCCTGTTTGGATTATATTCAGCTTTATCCTTCAATCACTCTTCTTAAAATGCATCTTACTTTGTAAGCCCCCTCACTCCTTTCAGGAGTAGATGGGAGGATGGATTCTTTTTTAATAAAAATTCATCTAGGAATTTTCCCTCTTTTTTATATTATGTGAAACTTACCACCCTTCTCTCCAAACAGTAAATTCACAATGATTAACATGTAGTGAGAAACTCAATTACGGTGGCAGCTATTTTTATAACAGTCTGGGACTGCTCATGAGCAGAGCTGTCTGGCAGGCCAGGCAAGGCACTGGGCACAGAAACTGCACCTGAAGGACTCCTGCCTGTTGTACTACTTGCTCAGCAGCTTCCCTGCCCTGAGCAGCTGGGTCTGCATTGTTTGTGGAGAGAAGAAAACAGGAATGAGGAAAAGTGGAGCTGTAGAGAAACCCAAGGGCACACTTTCAGATAACTTCCTAGGAAAAGGTAAATATGGGCTAGACGGGGGAAAAGGGATGGGACAGTGGTATCTCCAAAGTCTTCCTGCAATTTTGTGATTTTAATGAATGGGAAAAGGAGGTTGTTTAGCACTTTTTGTTCTGACAAATGCCTAATAATATTCTACTCTTCAATCCACTGCCATTTCATTTTAGTAAAAGATCAAATTCAGTGTTATGCTTACAATTTAAGATCTTACTCAGATATTTTAAATTTTGAAGACTATTATCCTTTGGTAAAAGTCAAATTCTGTTATAATCTGCAGCATTGCACTTATTCAACTGTGTTATGCTGGAATAGCCAGTTACCTTTTCTTTGGCGGGCAGGCCAAAAATCCTGTTTGATTTACCAGTGGATCTTCATCTGCTATGATTGTGGAAGCTTTCTTCTCACTTCTGTTCAGATCTACAAAAAGAGAAAAAGGGTCAAAGTAAGGAAAAAATGGATAAAGCCAATCAGAAATCTGCAATCTCATTTATTGCCAGATGTTCCAAAATTATTAAATGTGCTTTGAAATGCCAAAATTAAAATTCAAGGCACTTTACCAATTGTACAATAAATGCAATTGTTGTTTTTTTTTTTACAATAAACCTAATTGACTATATTTACAATAAACTAAGAACAAATGACTATTCAGTATGTACATAGAGCCAGCCTCCTGGGGCTTAAAATCATTGTGTTTAATTTGCCACTAATGAATTTTCACTCAATTTTTAAAATGGCTATTCAGAAAGTCTGCGCCTATGAATACTGTCAGAATCACAGATTTAAAACACACACACACTCTTTGAATGAAATGATTATTTAGAGAGCTCACTCTGCCCTTTACCATTCAGCAGTTTATAAAAGCAATTCATAATACTATAAATAGGAAACAAAAACTGAATTAAACTAGCTTCCTAAAAAGCACCAGGAAACCATGCATTCCATTATCTACATATTTTTGTGCATATGTGTACATATATATTTTGAGTAGAATGTGGCTACTATTCTAATTAATTTGGGGGGAGCATTGAGTTAAGGAATCAAGGGATTGGAGGCTGACAAACCAGTTAGACATTAAACTGATTTTCAAGTTTGACATGCAAAAGAGAAAAAAACAGCATATATGGGCAATGACATAGCTGTGGAGCAGATGCTGTCAAGGCTTAAAGCACACGGCAGGCTGATCTCATATGAAAAATTCACTAGTAATACACTTCTCTTCCTATAATCCTCACTGGCTATATACCAAGGTCAGGTGGTAGGAATATTACTTTGCTCAACTTTTATTTATTTTCATATACTCGAAGATGGTAAGCCAAATATTCCTATGGTTTGAGATACTAAAAATGCATCTCTCAGAGTCAGTCACTGAAACTCTATGCCATGTTTTGAACATTCACTCCTAATTATCTTCACTGGCTTTTAAATTATTCCTGTATATCATTCCCCTCTCCTTTTTAAAAAGTTTCAGTTGTATTCACTCACAAAATGTTATCCAGTAATGTAATCATTCAGTAACCATTCCTACATCTTTTTAAGGCAGATGTTTTCTTCCCGATTTCTAATGCCTTCCATCTATTTTTAAAATTTTTTTCTAATTTCTACTTTAGTGCTCCTTTTCTGCCTTATTTCCAATAAAAGTCACTGTCTTGCTTAACATGTCCATCCTGAGCCAAAATTCATTTATTTGCATCCTAAACATTTTAAGAATGCACTCAAAAGGGGTTACAAATTACCAGGATAGAGACAGCCAGTAAAGATGCTATGTTCGATAACCATTCACCTCACTGACGGTGACTCCTTCAGAGTAGACTAGAGGTAGAGATTAGACTCTGCTTCATCTGATTTCACTAGGTTAAGCTATTTTTCAGTTTCCTATCAGGACACTCCAGCTGTATCTCAAAAGTATTCAGGGAAGTCATCAGATTTTGGATGCTATGAAATTGCCCCCAAGATAGCATTTGCCTTTAGAAGAATTCACCATTTACTAGCCTGCACATCTTAAAAATGCTTTAAGGAAAACTCTACTCTTAGAGAAAAAATGGTAGTGGTAGTTACTAAAAGTAAGAATTTAAAAACAGTAACTTCTCTAGTTAGAAATGGGGGTCAGGAATCTTTCTTTAGTAAGAGAAAAATTATCATATGTTTGGACACATATCTCTCATTTTATCTTCACAGTAACACTGTGTTCAGAGGAGCTGTTATTATGATCTCCGTTTTACTAGTAAGGAAACAGTCTGAGGGAGGTCACAATTTGTTCACGATTACCCAGCAAATAAATGATGAAATTGGAATCAGAATGGAGGCCTTTGGTGCTCATTAGTTCCTTTTCCAGTACACCAATACAGCAATTTAATTTTGTTTTGCAATGAGAAAAGGTAGACTGGAGAACATTTTCTAAGCATAGAAACATAAAACTTGATAGCTTTTATTATTAATTCACCACCTACTATGTAACACATATTAAATAAATATAACTTTTTTAATGATTTTCTTTTTTTTTAATGAGAGCCAGTCAGAGGTGGGAAAAGAAAAGGAAACAAGAAGAAAGAAAAGACATAACTCAAATGGTTCTCCAAAGTCCTGAGAAGCATGAATTTATTCACTCTTGTTTTTGGGGGAGAGGGGGGAGATGAGTTTGCAGAAAATGCCTTTTTTCTAGAGGAGCATGCCCAGACCATGGAGACCCTTCTTTATAAGCACTATGTAACTCTCAACCCCATGCCAAGTCGTATTTGTGTTATGGGACTCCAAACGCCTCCCATTTTGGGCAGAGCTGCATGCACTACCCAAACTGAAGACATTCAATTTGTTTCCTTGAAACCAGAAATTGGGATGAATTGGATCTACTCTGTTCTAGGCTGCAAGCTACCGCCATCTGCTCTCAGTCTATAGGAAAAAGCCAGTCAGCAAAAAGAAAGAAATGAAAGTGCCACTCGGAGTGAACCTGACCCAGGAAGCCACATAGCCCCAGAAGAGAGAAAGGGAAACAGTTTGGGGGTAGGGGGACATTTATGGAGTCTCTGAGAGCTTTCCTGTCCCAGGTGTGGCCTCAGAGGCCCAAGCACTTCCTTTCCGAGGGCTTTACGAATCCCCTGGACCTGTAGGGTAAATGGCTTCCCTCTTCTGAGCTCAAATTTCTTTTGATTTCTGGTAACTGTGATAAAAATCATCTTGCTCAAGACAGTAAAAACTTGTAAAGCCCACAGTGTTACATGGACAGTGTTCTACAGGAAAAATAACTTATTTGCTAGGAGTAACATTTCTATGTACTTTTAAGACTCTTGAGAGCCTTGCTGTAACTGATGGCATAAGCTGAATCACTTCTTCTTATATAATGGAGTCTGTCAAAATTAAACACAACACACTAATCATGATAGAGGAAAGAAAACACAGGCTTGACTGAGTTGGTCTTGTTTTTGAAGCATAACAAATAAACTTCCCTTTTATTTCTTAAACCTTCTTAAACTCCAGGCAAACCATGGGGCTTTAATGTGAGACTGGCACACTAGGTGCTTACAGAGGGCATGAAAGGGAAGAGAAAGGGCTTGAGGGGCCTACAAGGAGGGGAATACAAGTTCTGACTTGATTCTATCTTCTAAGTTAAAGCTCAGGGAAGGAAGACTCCAATGTCTCCATTCTTTACATGAAAAGACTGAAAAGCAAGAGAGGCTTGCCCTAGCTGGTTTATTCATTCAATAAAAATGTATTGAGCATATGTTCCGTACCAGGCACTCTGCCTGGCCCTAGAATCAGAAGTGTATTCAGCTGAGCCATCTAATGCCCATGTTATGCATTTTCTCTCCAAGCTTTAACCCTTGTTACACACAGAAAAGTCCACAGGCCTAAAATAGTTCACTTTTTTGTCTGTTTGCCTATTCAGTGATCTTAGAGAAAAAAGAGATTTGTTGCTAATATTTAACAATCTGGAAGTGATGGGAAGATTAACATAAAGATCCCTATTCCCATTTTCTCTTTCAAAATCCAAATATCTGCCCACCATGGCCAGCTCTTTCATGGAGATAACCAGCTGATGTCGTGCCATGGGCCACCTCTTACCACTGGCACCTTCTTTCCAAAGTACCCACATTGCTGCCTCACTTGTTTTCCTTCCATGCCTGACTTCTGTAGGCAGCTACACTTGTGACCCTGAGCCTATATTGTTTTCCCAAGTCTCTTCTCCCAAACGAAAAACCACAAACAAAACTTTTAAAAGCAGCTTACATGCCAGCTATAGGCATATTCTCCAAAAATATTGCATTAATGTGGTCCCTGTTCACTGACTCTCCTCCTCCCCAAGTTCCACTTTGCGTTTACCCTACCAGGCTTTCTCCCTGGCAAAGCAAATTTAAGAATGAAATTCTATACTCCATACAACCTGTCTTTTCAATCGTGCTACTGGGTATCCCCCTCTTCAAATGTTAACAGGCGTGTTTGCACCTATTGAGCTACAGAGACTGCTTCGGAGTCCTTACACTGAACAAATGAGAGTTTGAAAACATACCAAGGAGCTGAAACCATCCCCTAGCAAGTACCCCAATACCTCCGGCCCAGGTTTCAGGGATACATTTCACTCAGTGCAGTGAGTTGTAGGGCTTTCCTGGCCGTCCATGAAATAGGAGGGCCCATTTTCTGACACTTCTACATAACTGCACACATTCAGCTCCTCTCCTCTCTCCAAAGGTTCAATACAGCCATCCCCATTCCCTTTGTCATTTCAGGTGGCACGACTCTCCCTTCTCAAGCCCTGTCTTTCTCAGGCTTCACTGAGGTTAAGAAGGCTCCTCCTTTTAGCTGATGGGTCAACAAGCCATTTTTCCATCACTTGTGACTGGTTCACAATTAACCTAAGAGAAAACCAAAAATACAGTAAAATTCCCAGTTCCCCAATTTATACAACATCTTTGGTCAAGTCATAGATTTGCACTTTGACTTAACAAAAGCACATGACAATAATACCAGCAGCTGGCATGTACTAAGCACTTACTAATGCCCAGCATTAACACATAATAAGCACTTTACACGTATCAACTCACTTAAACCTCTCGGGTCTATGATGTTAGAATTTTTACTATACTCCTGTAACAGAAAACTGTGGCTTGCAAGATGAGGCCAATAAGGGGTAAAACTCAGGCAGCTGCACATTAGAACTAACCCTAAATCTGTTCCTCCATTGTCACCACCACAGCAATTACTACCTCTGTTACCTGGACTCCTTTCTCCATGCCTCTCAAGTTAACTGCTTTAGTAATTTATAGCTAAATTCAGCATTCAAAATCTAGCTCAGATGAAACTTCCTCAGGTCATCACACCTCCCTCCCTGAGTGGGACTCTCAGAGGCAGGGTCTGCAGCACTTCATCCTTACATCCCCAGGGTCCACCACTGCGATGGTCCATTCCAGTAATAAAGTATTACTAAA